ATATATATATATATATATATATATATATATATATATATATATATATATATATATATATATATATATATAGTCTTTTGTCTGGTGAAAAAAAATTTCCCTGGAACCTAACCCTCCCATTTACATTAATCCTTATGGGGAAATTGGATTTGCTTAACATCATTTCACTTAAAGTCGCATTTTTCAGGAACATAACTACAACATTAAGTGAGGAGTTACTGTACATGGGCAATAGCCTACCCATGACCCCCAAAATATAAACACACACCGCCCCCCAAAAAATCTATCTAATGTATTAACCACATGCAGGTCAACAGCTTTACATAAGGGAAGCTACGCTGCTTCTTGCACCCACATTGCCAGTGCTGTGCTCTCCATGGGCCACACGCTGGTTCTGCTGAAGTCCATGGTAAAATTCCCACTGACGTCAAATAGACCTGGATCTGACCCTAAATACATCTCCAACATACGATCGGGTATACAAGGCTTTAGAAAGATCATTCTACCCTCACCAAGGCAACGCAGACAAACACCTGGACTGAAGTGTCGCTCAGTTAGGTAACTACAGTCAGGAAAACTTGCAAGTTATTTTTGCTGGTGCTGTATTTGCATTCTCCCTTTCCAGCACTGGTCTGAAACAAATAGGTGTGAACTGGCATTAACTAGGCAGGGAAAATACGCATCACCTAAGGCACGGCAGCAAGTACCAACACTCTACAATGCCAAACGTGCAACGTTCTCTCGGGATCTTACCTCCACCACATGCCCGGGACAGATGTCTTGGTATCTCAGAAACGGAGCAGCAATAATTCGACTAGGAGAAGATACAGCAAGGGTTGCGGTGTGAGTCATCTTTAATGTGAGTGAAAACCCAGAGGTGGTAAGGACAAGACAACCCCTCCCCTTCCCTGTCCTCTGGGGTCTGACAGAATCCGCCTGGCCCCTATTTATCATGTCAGTGCTCTGTCCCTCCACAGGCCTGTGTCAGAGTCATGGTGACCTTCCCTCCGTTAAGGTGGTCTGGGCCTAGCCACTTGACTAAGCTCTGTCCCAGTTTATGACACAAAGGATGATGGCCAGAAGCCAAAACTGTGCATGCAGGGAACCCACGCCTCTCAGAGGGCAATACCTTTACTAGACAGGAAGGACGGCCCAGTAGTTAGAGTGCAAGCCTGAGACCTGCTCTGTCGCAACCTGTGTGACCTTGGGCAAGTTACTTAGTCCATCTGGACCTCAGTTCCCATCTGTGCAATGGGGAAAAGAGCCTGCCCCTGCACCACAGGGATTATTGGGAGGAGAAATGTGTTCAAGGTTGTGACTCTCAGACATCCAGTAATGGGCATCAGATGAGTGCCACAGACAGAGAACGAGTGGAAACCCCAATGGGCGGGTTCCAGCCAAACAAAGCAGCACAATATTTTCCACTTGTTATCAGCCCCTTCTCTCCCCGTAGACCCCCCAAACAATTCTGGAATGGCACGGGAAACTTACTGCTTCAAAGACAACAGGGCCAGCTCATCCATAAGGCTGTAGTCAATGATTCGACATCTGTGCTTGCTGCCCGCCTTAAATGCCCCAGGTTTGAAGGATTTTTTGGTGTCTGAAAGATGCTTCAGCTACAAAAAACAAAGGGCGATTTATCACCACTTGGAAATAGAGATGCTATTGACTTGGGAGAACGAAACCTAGACTGACTTGAAGAGGAGAAAACAGACCAGTAAGACTCAGCAAGTTTCACGTGGGTGTTTTCACCCAGGTGAGACGCAATGCTTACATCCCTCTGGAAGTATTAGTTGGGAGGACGGGAAGGAAGACACGGACAAACCCATTATTTTGGGGAGCAGCTTGTATGATAGTTGCCAGGCAGATGGCGTTGTATTTTACTGTGTATATACACTGAGAGGCAACATTCCCCTAGCATAATTTTTTGAAGACCATTAAGAGCATGAGAAAGAGGAAGAGGCCACCAGGCCAGGGCTTGACCTGAGCGCGAGGCCAGCCTGGTACTTTATGAAGGCTGGGCACACTGTCCATTAACCTCATTTCTAAGGGCCACCCTGAGCTCCTAGGGGGTTCCAGTCACTGCAAGACCAGGGGCTTCCCGAAGGATTTCGAGCCCAGTCCCGCAAGTTACCAAGTGCCCTCCACTGGGGTGAAGGATGCTCAACCCCTCACAGGCCTTCCTTATTTACTTTCTCCACACCCGTCATGATTGTATAGACCTCAATCATATCTCCCCTTAGTCTCTTTTCCAAGCTGAAAAGTCCCAGTCTTATTAATCTCTCCTCATATGGAAGCCGTTCCATACCCCTAATCATTTTTGTTGCCCTTTTCTGAACCTTTTCCAATGCCAATACATCTTTTTTGAGACAGGGCGACCACAACTGCACACAGTATTCAATATATGAGCGTACCATGGATAGAGAGACAATATGATATTTTCTGTCTTATTATCTATCCCTCTTTTAATGATTCCCAACAATCTGTTTGCTTTTTTGACTGCCGCTGCACATTGAGCGGAGGCTTTCAGAGAACTATCCACAATGACTCCAAGATCTCTTTCTTAAGTGATAACAGTTAATTTAGACCCCATCATTGTATATGTACAGCTGAAATTATGTTTTTCCAATGTGCATTACTTTGCATTTATCAATATTGAATTTCATCTGCCATTTTGTTGCCCAGTCACTCAGTTTTGAGAGATCCTTTTATACCTCTTTGCAGTCTGCCTGGCACTTACCTATCTTAAGCAATTTTGTATCATCTGCAAATTTTGCCACCTCACTGGTTACCTCTTTTTCCAGATCATTTATGAATATATTGTATAGCACTGGTCCCAGAACAGACCCCTGGGGGACACCACTATTTACTTCTCTCCATTCTGAAAACTGACCATTTATTCCTACCCTGTGTTTCCTATCTTTTAACCAGTTAC